TCTAATTCCGGATCCGAGAAAAAAATGGGTATTTTTTTATTATCTAGATCCAAGAGGAATCCAATTGCTAAACGGGTATAATGCGAATCCTCATTATGGATTTCAGCTGGAAAATCGAATGGTGGAATAATGGCCTTACTACGTGTAATTGGTTGAGTGTCTGTATCAGTGTGCATTGCAACAGGCCAGGCAGGCGCGTTTAGTTCTGTTCTTTCTCGTATGGTAGAAGCGATAGAATGATATGCACGTAGATATAGATTATATTCTTTGCAACCATTCACAGACTGCTACCAACGATTTTTGGGTAGTTCGAGATTAACTTCGTCGTTTTCGAGAAACGCACCGAGCATACCAGAGTACAGATATAAAGCTCGATAAGTAATTCATTATACCCCTTATTGAACGATATTCACCAAATGAAGAAGGCTTGCCAGTACGCCCAAGGCTCGAATGGAGAAAGACAGGAGAAAGATAATTCTTTTCCCATAAGTACGGCAAGACTTTGATTTTGTTCATTAACATTTTCAGCAGTATGGACCAGAGCATTATCATCTTGAAACCAATAGCCTCTGCAATTAAATTCTTCCTTTACCAAAGGGTTTCAAGTATTTGTATGTAGTTAAACCTATTCATTTTACCATCTACTTTTACTAATGGCTTTACCGGAAAAGCACACCCACATCATTAATCCACCACCTCCAAATTTTGCTGTTGGGACCAAATTTTCAATATTAGATCTGGTACCAGGAGTTCTCCAACCACGACCTGGACCATCATTTTTAAATATTGTGAATCCTGCTTTCATCACTCCATATGACAGATCGCCATTTTGCGAACAGTCCAATCTAGCCCACCGCACAACTGCGCCACCTTCTAGTACACCATCTCAGATGTTGTTCTCTTTTGCCGATCATTTAGGAGAGTTTTGCGAGCTGGTTATACGAGAAAAATCTACATTTTGTGCAAATTACTCGTAATAGTTTTTGTGCGAACTTCATATTAGTTTTTTCAACATTTTTTTTTAAATTTCTTCAGCTGATTTCTTATTATTATCTTTAACAATAGTCTTTAGAATTTTTTTGACTTCAGTTAGTCAATAATTTTGGACGGCCAGATCGGGGACGAGTCGCAAAGGTCAACTCCGTTAGGTACTTATCAATAGTAATAGTACGAGTGACAGTTGTTTTATAAACTTTGAGCATCTACTAATTTTTGGTACTGATTGCTTATTTTCGTAAAGGCCAATAATTTCAACGCGTTGACTTTCAGTTAAAGGACACATATTAACATCAAAAGATTAGAAGTGCTTACGGATTTATTTATATATTCTGATGTGTGTTTACAAACAACACGAAAATTGTATATGCGTTTGTTCAAAACCAAAACAAAGTTATATTGAAATTATTATGCGTAATTAAAATTTTTTGATGTGCAAGACTTTTGTCCGGGTAGTGTATGTTGAAATTTTGCAGAAATGTAGCCAATACAAGCGCAAACTACGGCTAAAGTTTCTGATGTTTCGTTACGGAATTATGCATGATCAACGAAAATTTTAATGGGTGGGAGGAGACTTTTGGTCACCCACTTACACTGTAGTATGTAGTACTAGAAAAGAAATTTAACGTAACACATTAGGAGTTCGATCTTACAATTATGGAGTTGACTGCAATTTGCACACACGTACTGAATATTTGAACATACAATTTCTAAACAGGTAATCTTATTACAGACTTAATTAGCAATTAGCTTTGGACACGGCAAATATATGAAAGTAAACATTTCTTATTTAGTATATATTAAAACATGCTTTATATTGTTACAAAATAATATTTATTACAATTGAAATTGAACAAACAATCACTATGCGACCTATAGTAAACCTTCGTTTGATATTATATAAATACGTAAATGTCAATGTCACTAGTTATAATGTTACATTTATTCTACACTCGCATTACCAATGCTATTTTCCAAACGCTATTCATTCTATTGTCCGTTCAGATGCATCACAACCTTTCGCCTTATATCCAATGTCCAAACTTGATCCGGTTCGAGTTTTAACGATGCGTTGAGATCCTTTAATGCACTATCATATTGACTAAGCTTGTAATAAACAAAACCCCTTCGACTCAACGCGGATGCGTTGGTCGGGCCAAGATCCAACGACTTTGTGAAATCGCTCAATGCTCTGTCGTATTGATTGAGCTTGCAACAGACATCTCCTCTTACCATATATGCCCATCCATTAGGTTTTATCAGCAAACACTTATTCAAATCTTTCCACGCGTTATCATATTGTTCAAGCCAGCAATAAACGGATCCCCGACATCTCAATGCCCAAGTATCGGTCGGTTTGATGGACAGGCATTTATCAAAATCGCTCAGCGCCTCTTTATACTCTGACATCATGTAATAGACCTCACCTCTGCCCCTCAATGCTCTCGTGTCGTTTGGACGTATATCCAACGATTTGGTGAAATCGTTCAACGCATTGTCATGTTCATCGAGCACACGATAGACTTCCCCTCTTCGCTTCAACGCGCAAGCATTATTTGGTTCAAGCTCCAATAATTGGTCGAGATCCTTCAATGCATTGTCATATTGATCAAGTCTGTAATAAACAAGACTCCTTCGACTCAACGCAAATGTGTTACTTTGACGTATACTCAAAGATTTCGTAAAATCGTCCAACGCATTGTCATATTGCTTGAGCGCGCGGTAGACTTCTCCTCTTTGCTTTAGCGTCAAAGCATCATTCGGTTCGATTTCCAATGACGTATTGAAATCCTTTAACGCATTGTCATATTCACCAAGTTTGTAATAAACAAGCCCTCTCTTCCTCAACGCCGATTTGTTGGTCGGACAAAGATCCAACGACTTGTTGTAATCACTCAATGCGCTGTCGTATTGGTTGAGCTTACAATACACATCTCCCCTTATCGCGTGTACCCATTTATTATCATGATTACGATTTACGTCCAAACATTTATTGAGATCGCTTAATGCGTTATCATATTGCTTGAGCCAGTAATAAACGGATCCTCTGCAACTTAATGACCAGGCATCGTTTGGTTCAATGGACAACGACTTGTCAAGATCGCTCAGCGCATTTTCATACTTGCCCATTTTACGATAGACCTCACCTCTTCTACTCAATGCCCTCGTGTCGTTTGGACATATATCCAACGATTTCGTAAAATCGTCCAGTGCGTCGTCGTATTTCTCAAGCATCCGATAGACTTCCCCTCTTTGCTTCAGCGTCCAAACATTGTTCGGTTCAAGTTCCAATAATTTGTTGAGATCGTTTAATGCATGGTCATATCGATGAAGTCTGTAATAAACACGACTCCTTCGACTCAACCCGAATGCGTTATTTGGACACGTACTCAACAATTTCGTAAAATCGTCCAACGCATTGTCATATTTCTTGAGCGCTCGGTAGACTTCCCCTCTCTGCTTCAGTGCCAAAGCATCATTTGGTTCGAGCTCTAATGATTTGTTAAAATCGAGCAGCGCATTATCGTATTGGCCAAGTTTGTAATAAACAAATCCTCTTTTCCTCAACACAGATGCGTTGGTTGGACTAGCATCTAACGACTTGTTGTAATCTCTCAATGCGTTGTTGTAATCGTTGAGCTTGCAATAAACATCTCCCCTTGTCACGTGTACCATTCCGTTACTATTACCATAACCAGGGTTTATCCTCAAACACTGATTGAGATCGCTCAATGCGTTATCGTATTGTTTGAGCCCGTAATAAACGTATCCTCTGCAACCCAATGCGCAAGCATTGCGAGGCTCAACGGACAAATACTTGTCAAGATCGCTCAGCGCCTCTTCATACTTGTCCATTTTACAATAGCCCTCACCCCTTTTACACAATGTCCATGCGTCGTCCGGAGATATATCCAACAATTTCGTGAAATCGTCCATCGCATTGTCATATTTCTCTAACGTCCAATAAATCTCTCCTCTTTGCTTCAACGCCCAAGCATCATTCGGTTCAAGCTCCAATGACTTGTTCAAATCAAGCAACGCATCGTCATATTGATCAAGCTTGTAATGGACGTACCCTCTCATCTTCAATGCGAACGTGTCTTGTGGTTCAAGCGCCAAAGATTTGTTGAAATCATGCAGTGCCATGTCATACTCTTCAAGCATACGATAAGCATCTCCCCTTTTCTTCCATGCAAATGCGTCGTCGGGTTCGATCTCCAACGATCGATTGAAATCATCAATAGCATTATGAAGCCATGTAAGTCCACAGTAAGCTTCTCCCCGTTTACTCCATGCAAACGCATCATTAGGGTCGATCGCTATCGATCTAGTGAAATCGTTAAGAGCAATAGAAAAATCTTCAAGCGCACAGAAAACCTCTCCCCTTTTACTTAACGTCCATGCGTCGGCATGTTCGATAGCCAGTGATTTGTTGAGATCAGCTAGAGCAGCACGATGCTGCTTAATATTAAAATAGACGGCGCCTCTTGTTCTCAACACCCATGCATTCTTACGTTTGAGTTTCAGTGACTTTGTAAGATCAACTAACGCATCTTCATACCGCTCAAGCCAATAATAGAGATGTCCTCTTTTGCTCAAAGCCCATACTTGATTCGGTCTAATCTTCAATGAACTATCAAAGTTCTTCAATGCTTCATCATATCTATCAAGACTATAATAAACATCTCCCCTCCGACTCAATGTCCAAGCATGATTGGGTTCAATCTCTAATGACTTGTCAAAATCTTCTAGTGCGTTATCATAGTCATGAAGCAAACGATAGACTTCACCCCGTTTTCTCAGCGCCCAAGCATCATTCGGATCAATCTCTAACACTTTACTGAAATCATTCAATGCCTTGGTATACTGTTTCAGCTTGCAATAAATAGTACCTCTTGCTCTAAAAGTACAGGCGTTGTTTGGTTCGATCTCCGTCACTTTTTCAAAATCGCTCAGTGCCCGATCGTAGTTCTTGAGCGTACCGTAGACATGTCCCCTTCTGCTTAACAGCCACGCTTTAATCCGACGATGTTTAATGTTTGTCGACACAACTTCACCATAGCCGTTCTCGCCTAATATATTACTGACGGTTGTTTGATCGATGTTCAAGTCATTATACATAGCATTGAAATGAGCCGCAATCTCAACATGAGTATATAGCACGTTAGCGTTGTGAAAGGCACAGATTGCACGTTTAAGTGAGTCGCTGATAGGCGCTCGCTTTTCTGGTTTCTTGAACATTTTGTTTTATCATAGTAGCATGCATACAAACACATTATCATGCTAGATTGAACACTTTTTCTTATATCGAATTCGATGTGATTAAAAAGGAAAAATTATAATAACTGCTATGATATCTAGTCTTATTGGATAGGTGATAATATGTGTGACAAGAATGTGTACGTGTAACGATTAATGACGCAAGGTAATCTTACAAATAAGGGCAAACTATAACTGTGGGCAAGGCTGCGTCTTGTCTGTATAAAGGATGACTCGATACAATAAGGTAATATCGCATATTCATTTGATCCATCATTCATAAACACATTATCCGTCCCGAGATAAGATGAATTAAGTTTAGATTGGTGCCTTTGCACAATTAGTTGCAATAACTGCGCAAATTCGTGGCTTGTATAATGTGTCAGGTGACCATCGTGCAAGACGATTATGGGAAAATCGTTTCCCTTTCATGTATTAGTTGAATTGCATTAAATTTTCCGCATGTCATCTCTTTATATGAACAATGCAATTATTTTATTTCGAATGCCCCAATCGAGAAAGAAGAAACCTTGCGGACGTAAAGTACTTAAGCAATATCAGAGATAACTTGAAAACCCCTCAGTTATTCATTTAGATAATGTTGAGGGGGAAAATACTATAAAAGAACATTATAGCCCAACCAGAAAATGTACGTTGTGGGTATTTATAATGTCTTTCACTTAGTTTGATGCGGATTAGATGTCGTTAATTCGACCAATGATTCCGAAACGAATTATTGTATGAATTCCTATTACTGTCGTAACATTGCAAGGACGATAGAGCTTTCAATATTATCGGACAAGGGAGTATACTGATGCAAGAGTGCTTTAAAACATGTTTTACTAAAAGGTATTGTTCTTGCAAACTCAAACTACAATTATGTAAAAGGTCTTAAATTATGTGGACACAACAAGTAATGTATTTTTCGAATAACATTTATAGACCGTTTCATTAAGAGTATATACCTTTACATAGTTGATTTTGCAGAAAAAAATACTATTCTACGTGCAATGTAATTTAATGTAAGAAAATACCATTTATTACAAATTTTCTGGAAAACTGGACAATATGTGCAGACAATGACGGGTATTACTCCGAATAAATACAAACTCAGCATTTGTTGTACAATTGGGGTGAAACAATGACAATTACGGCGTTATGAGGTCGTCGGTCGTTTTTGTCGCATTGAACGACCCTCTATTGAGACTCCCAGTGTAGCTTATTAACGATGAATAAGCGATAAAACTTGTAATAGCAGCCAATTACAGTAAGTATCAGATAAATATTGTAGATTACAGTTATATTGCACAATCAATAACATTTGATTTGTTATTGTAGATAAAAACATCAACTGAAGAAATACAATATAAGACGGATATTGAATCTAGCAACTACGATGATGCTGAATACATTTTACCATGTACTTATCCGAAGATGACATTAATTTAGAGTTTAATATCGGTTGCGTAAGTATGTTTTATTTATTATTGACTTGTGTAAACGTCTATTCAATTATTTCTAACTTTAACTTATTACAGTCAGGTATATACCTTCATTGGGCTTGTTTATATCCGGAAGAAAGCTTTACAATTATGCAAAATAGCTTAAAATCGAAATGCTTTCAAATGGTGTGATAATAATTGATTATGAGCAGTTAAATATTGTAGCGAACATTTGCTAGAGTATGGTTGAACCATATTAATATTAGTATCCATATAATCGATAAAGCAGTGCATAATGATTACGTGTATTTTATTATACAACGATAACTCAATTTATCTATTTTAAATCGTATAATAAACAATTATATAACCTTATATTTTGGATATTACGTCCAGTACTGTATTCGGCAAAAAAACCGAACGAAAAGTAAAGATTACACCTCGTGGTGGCGTACTTTCAGATACATCATTCATGATAAAAACATGCCTGAAGGCAGTATTAAAACGTCGTCGTTATTTTCTTCGACCTACACCCAATTGCAGCGTACAGTAACTGTTCTACAATACTTGGTGAAATACTCACCTCTGTTTGTGTAATGACAAACTTCAGCCGCTAGAGGGCCTTCTGCACGTTTACTCAAACCCGGTGCATGTTTGTTTTCGGCGAAACTAATTCGTAATGTATCGTATATTATTTGAAGGAGAAGTTATAGTGAAACAATAAAAACGTATGGATATGTAAATGCACGTTTTACGTATTCGAATGATGGAAGATGACATATTAATATATTTGTATTACGTAATAACCGCAGAAAGTGGTTGAGGATTTGCGATTGTCAACTCAACCAACATATTGTTTAATAACATTATGACGTAAATAAGAATAACATTAGTGGGGCTGATAAACTAATACGTGATGGTCTCGCTCTTGCTTTCATTCGGTGGTGGCTTTTTTGCGTTTTTTCTCTCTTAATCAAGCCTCACGGTATGAACCCGATTTTTACGACAGCGATGACACTAGCAAGTCTCTGCATTTAGTAGTAAAGCATAAAGTAATTGTTCATAATTGTTCCTATCTATTAGAATAATAGTATTAAAATATCGATATACGTGGGGAGGCTGAAAGTTTTGCGTGTGGCTTTCTAACTCGAGATTGCAGCAATTCAACTAAAAATTGGAATAATTATAAACATACTTTTACGTAACAAATGAAAAAAAAAAGTAGAGACAAAGCCACTATTTCGTTGTCAAGATACCATTTTTTTTGTAAAACATGGTAAAACAACTGGGAAAAAAATGAGCCGTAAGAGTTAAGGACACTTTATTTTTGCTTCTTAGAAAAATGGCAGAAATACACATCGAATTTACGAAAAATTGGTAAATGTAGAAAAAAAAACTAGCGTTGTCTACTAGCACAATTAGACGCTCGATTGCTACATTCAAAGAGTAGTAAAAAGTAAGTAAAGACAGGCCGTTCTGGATGTTCCCTCGCAAAGCGGTAACATCAGAAAAATTGCCAAGGTCGAGGATTTTGTTAGCAATAACGCGCCCATTTTTATTAAAACTTAGACAACAAAACTAGTATTTTTTCTGAAAAAATCTCCTGTATTTTTACACAGTGAGCGAGCCTCCAGAAGAAAAGAAGGAACAACTGCTTCGTGACGTCATGCTTCATTACGACAATGTTGCGCCACATAAGGCATCTACTATGACGGAGTATCTTCATAACAAACGAGTGAAACTTTCTCCCTACTTGCCGTATAGTCCAGACCGTATAAAGAAACAACTGAAGGAAAAAAAAAATTTAATAAGGTCGAAAATTTGGGCAAGGGCTGTTCAGGCAGTTGCTGAAACAATGCCAAAAGCCGGATATGAACTTTCCAGAGTTGACAGAATCGTCTGCACTGTTGCATGGACATTAATGAAGGCTACTTTGAGAGAATGAAATAGTTGTATCGATAAATATTATGAAATTTCTGGAAATAAAGGTCTGCGCGCAAAATTTTTCAGCCCCCACGTATTGTCTTATGCAACGCATAGTAAATGGGAAAGTTTAACGTTATAGTGCTAATAACAAATAGCATGAATAAATAGCGGGATTACGGAAAACGTCAGTTAATCACTATTATGAGTATACCTTCTACCTTCATTGGTGATGGAGCAGGAGTATACTAACCAAGTCATTGCCAGAATTACTCGTTCTAGCATTAATTTGAAAAAGCTTGGTGCGCCGTACTATAAAAACATTTTGTATTACTACATTAATAGGCTACAGGCTACACAATTTATGTGGTAGCGTCAATAAATATATGACGAATTGAGAATAAGTAATAAATTACAAGTGATACTGAATAAATAGCAAGTGATGTGGTACGAAGCACAGTCTATATTAACGGAGTGTCGATTTCGAACCTTGAAATGAAACATGTTTAGATTGAAAAACCGCAACAGATTGTCAAAAAGACATCAGGCTATAGACAACAGATTGTCAGAAAGACATCAGGCTATAGACAACTTGATTCAATCATCCTCAGTAGATGATAAATATTTTCATCTTGAATGGATTTCCGGTTCTGAGTTTAATAGAGTGGGCTCTAGGAGGTGTGTTGCTGACCAAACCATCCACCTTGCCGTAAGAAATTTTTATCAGAAGGTAATGCTATTATCTCTTGAATGCGATGAAACCACTACACCAAACTTTATGAATGAGTTTGCCAGAAAGTATTCGCTTCCGACATTCAGGCTTGAGGATGATACTTCACCTAATCAGTTCAGAAGA